TCGGGCGGGAGTCCGCCTTTTGCCCGGGAAGGCGGACTCCCGCAGGCAAACGCTAGGAAATGCACGTTTTTTACATCAAAAAATAGCATATATTACAAAAATAGCATATATGATTTTTTCTAAATAACTTGAATTAAGCTCAATTGCATCGGCAGGTCTCGTCTCACTCTAACAATAAACCTGCATGACAAGGGTGCAACATGATACACGAATCATCTCTTGATATGTTCTGCAACGCAACAACACTTCTTTGTCGTGACACTGCGCTCATGGTCGGTAAGCGGGGCAGTCCACCGATGAAGAAGGCTGGTAAACCGGCCAGTCCACCGATGAAGAAGCTTGTGAAGAAGCCCGGTAAACGGGGCAGGCCGCCGAAGAAGAAGCCCATGAAGAAGTTAGGAAAAGCATCAGAGCTTGCAGGCAATCTTTGGAAATTATGGCTCGCGCATGTATTGCGTGAAGGTCGGTGCTGGCTATATGTATGTTTGATAGTCACACACCTGCTGTGTTTGAGGATCACGGAATGTTTGCGCCTCAAAGCTAACGATGTCTCTTTCAAGACCAATTCGGTGGTGATCAAATCGCTCAAAAGACAGGCGGCTGTTCGCAAGCCCTTGTTGCCAGAAATCAAGAAAGTGTTGAATTTTTTGCAGGAGAAAGGCATCAAACGGAGACGGACCACCCAGGAGGGCGCCAGAGGGACAACCACATGGACAGACCATTGGCGCTGGCCGACGCATGGCTTTTTGTTTCCCAGTGACCGCGTCGATTCCGAGACTGTCTGTCGCAAAAAGGACACGGTGTGCAAAGCAGCGGCGCGTCTGCGCCAGTCATTTGCTGAACCAACAGAGAAGACAATACGCTCACATTCGGGTCGCCATCGTATGGTGAACGATCTGAAAACATCAGGCATACCAGAAGAGGTGGGCATGCTCTATTCACGGATTGCGGACCGCAAAACCTATCAAGGGTACGGAGGCGTCACCAATGACCAGGCGACTAGCATTCTGAAGAAAAACAAAGCTTTGCGGGCAATGGTTGGCCAACTGTTCCCTGGCGGCAATGTTGCCAAAGCTGCCAAAAAGGCTTGTCGCTAGGATTGAATAGCACTAGCCAGTTTCAACCTGACCTTGTCTGTGACCCCCTTGCCATAAAGAATATGGTGAATTCATTGGACTGATTCAGCGCAGGAGGGAAAACAAGTGGGCTGAGACACCTCTGGCGTTGAAAAAGTGCTAGCTTGTTCCCATACATGTCCTTGAACTGGCGACGCGTGCATTGAAGTAAAACAAGCTATAGAAACACGGGTGAGAGGCAAGATAGATGGTAAAGCGTTGCCATTGATCAGGTGTCCTTTTTGCTCTATTGGCGAAGCCAAGCTTGAGAAGCTTGGGAGGAGGGAAGGAGGGGGCAGAGTGAAAGAGGAGGAAGGAAGGGAACAAACACGAAATCTGAAGCTGCTCATAATAAGTGGGCCTGTGTAAATATGGATACAACCAAAAATGACCGTTTGAAAGGACATCAAAAAATACTATAACATAACACCAGAAAAAACAAAGCTTTTGACTATAATGAATGTAAATATAGTATTTAAAAACATAAGTAACTAAGCAATACATCAAAACGAACCAATTATGAAACAACGAATGAACGACATGTCACGTTCAGTGTTAGCTGACACTGAGACCAAGGCGGTGGCAAGCCGTTTGTGGCCTCAGGCGCCGCGCAGCTGTGGCCAAACTAGTGAACTGGTATCTTGCAATGTCAAAAAAACAAACCACAACCTCAATATTTCATGGAACATTCTTAGGAATCATATTCCAAACAACCATGCAGAGGTACTTATGCAGCACCATACTTGCAAGGTACTTATGCAGCACCTTACATACAAGATGCTTAGCTACTGCTCGTGTTTGTGTTTGTCTTGTCCTGTTTTGCTTGCATGTTCTATGTTCTTTATGGTACTTGTTCAGCACCAGAAAGAAAATAAAACATGCAAGCAAAACAACTCAAAAAGTACGCGGTTCAGGTCAAAAACATCTTTGAGTACCGTGTACGTTTGCAGCGTAGCATCTTTGGTAGCCCAGTAGCCCAACTCGCTCAAATGCAACGCTCAGGAGAGTAGGCTGAAAAATTCAGCATCATACCATATGTGATACATGACGTCTCGTCGATCATGGGATCTGTATTCTTGCCAAAGTCTGGGTGGCCCTTCAACCACCTACTCACCGCCATGTGCTTGCGAATTCCTTACCGGCGGGATGAATTTCACGCCCATCTGGCAAAAATAAACTAGACTTTAGACATAGGATACACAACACTTTCATAGCTGCCAAGTCAGCAATGCCCAACGAAGGACTACCAGTGGCCAACTCATCATCAATAATATGGATAAGAAAAAAATATATTTAGGGTTACCCTCAAGAAGAGAACAAGAGTTACCCTCAAGCTGGCCATCAGTCTTCCTCTGAAAGAGAGTGTTCCGGACAGGAATTTTGGAGAAACCTGCTCGAATCAGCAACTGTTACAGTGACCAATGATATTATAGTTTATCATGTTGGCTTCCCCAAGCACCGAAACTTGCGAATTGCGATCTACTCCTGGGGCCCTCCTCGAAAGAAGATTGGCTCACTCCAGCGGCACGATCTTGGCAACCGTGCAAAAGCAAAGTGAGCACGCACAGTCGCAAGGCTTGCTACTTGTCCGCCTTGTCGTCGCTGCCCCCATCCTTGCTCCTTGCCAACAACTGTGCAAGCTTCTCTGAAAGATCCGGCTTGCCCTTCGCCTTCGCCTTTGGCTTCGGCAGCGCCTTGGGATCAGCCTCCGTCTCCTTCTCCTTCTTTGGCGCAGACATTTTGGGCTTTGCTTTCGGCATTGATGGGGCCGGCTCATCCTCAGCAGCCCTCTTCTTGCCTTCACCGCTGAATCACTCAAATCTTTTGAAACTAAAATCCATGCCTCGCAGAAAAGCTTAGTAGTCAAAACAACATCGCAGATTTTCTCAAAACAAATCGTATGCCAAGGTACTCTCTTGCTGAACCTCTGCACCGGCGGTAGTGCTGGCAAAGGCTGGTGCATACACCTTGCTCTGCGGATCGGCCATCGCTGCCAGAAGAGCCTTCCTCAATCTGACCATGATGAATTCCTTTTGGCATTCCATTTGGCAGATTCCGACATAGCCAGTGTGGCGTAAGATGGAGGAGATAGCAAAGTCACCGACTCCTGGTGTCATATCCAACACTGCCAAGGCCGAGTACGCATGGGCAAAAGACTCTGCCACCAAGGGCGGCAATTGCTGGTAGCATACAGGCTGCGCCACTTCATCACTGAGACCTTTTGCTCCTCGCCCCAAGCCCACTCCTGGCAATTGAATCTCTTCAGCAGCCTCGTCCTCAGCTTCATCTTCCTCGTCCTCCTCGTCCTCGCCATCTTCAGAACCGTCATCGGCGGTCCTTCCGCCCACGGCCCTCCTCCTGGCTCCCCAAAATTCCTTCTTCTGCTTCACCGTCAGCTTTGGCAAACTGAGGTAAGCCTGCAGGCTAATGGGCCCCGAAACATCGCTGGCGTTCGACGAGGAACTGAAATGAAGATGCTTCTTGTGCGCGATGGCTGTCATGCCGTTCCAAAAGATGTGCACCCCCTGGGAGCATGCCAGGTAATCGTTCTTGCTCTTCTTCCTGAATTTTCTTGCAGCTACGCTGCTCTCCTCGAAGGTCAAGATCACCTGGCGGTACACCACCTTGCCATCACGTTCCTTTTTCTTTTTGTCAAATGCCTTGCGATCCTTGGTCATGCCAAAATAGCCCAAGACAGTGCTGCTATTCTTTCGGCCCCCGTCCACAATGACCAAAATGTCACCCGGCGGCAGAAGACCTGGCTGGTCCTCCTGCTCTCGCGTCTTGCTGACGGCTTTGAAGATCTTTGAGATCACCGTGTTTTGCAAAGGTGCCCGCCTGATGTGCGGCGCTGTGATTGCCTCGCCAAAAAGATTGGCATCAAAGTACATCAGGAAGTTTCCTGCTGAATTGCTCTTCACAGTGGCCAACGAATAGCGCTGAAGGGCCTCAGTACAATTCCCTACGCACAACGCACGTAGGCTGAATGGTACTAAATTCAACTTGACAAGCTTTGGTACTTTTTCAGCACCGATCAGCATTGTCCATCAGCAGGTCAAACATGGCACTTTCTCAGCGCCAATGGCATGTGTTTTCTAACGCGCGAATGACATTGAAACAAGTCACTGTCTGCAACTGGTTCTGTGTAAGGCCCTTCTCAACGATCAAACAGCACTGCTTGGAGATTGTGCGTTCTGCCACTGCCAACCAGCCTTCTTCTACAGACTCCAGCTGGATCCCCTCCTGGTGAATTGTCAAGAGCGGCCCCGAAGATGATGATTCAGCTGCTGGTTTCTGAGGAGTCTGAGCGTCAGCATTTTCTTGCATTTCCTCAGGAGCAGCTTGCTTGGGGCCGGATTCCGTGGTCAAAGCTCCGTCGACCTCTTCGATCAGCGTCTTGTACGGCTGATATTCAGCCAAGACTTCTTCTGCTGTTTTTCCGGCTTTGATGCCATTGCGCACAGACGGCAGCTCAGAGGAGTCGAAGCTGAAGCAATACTCAACCAAGTCCATGACCTTGCTGCAGGAAGGTGGGAGCAACGACAGCCATGTCCGCTCGTTCTCCTGGGTTTTGGTCAAGTGCCACTGAAATCAAATACAAATCAAATCAATGCAAATCAAAGACACATCAAATTCAAAGAATCAATGAAATGTGGTCGCTGAAATTTTGCTCCGGGGTGCAAGATACTCCTCCTGATACGCCTCAACGCTGCCAAAGATTTTGCGGACAGCCTGCTTGCCATCTGAAACAAGATTCTTCTCATCCAGCCAGCGACCGGTCAGGTAGTCCCGCATCTGCTTCTTCATCATGATGACATCAATCATCCCAGATCGGCCAGCCGTGCCTTTCAGCTTTTTGGCGCTCAGGTCTCCAACTTCAATCTGCTCGCTCTTCAGACCAAAGCACGCCAGACTGAAAAAGAACTCCAGCTTTGTGGTCTGCCTGCCACACTTGGCCTGAATATCATTCAATTTGTTGATGGAATTGAATGGCGAAGAGGTGCCATACTGGGATTCTGTCCATTGAATCAATTTCCAAATCTTCTCGTGGGCAAGGACCTTTTCGTATACAACGCAGGCTTTCTGAATGACCGATTCGTCCGACCTGGGCTCTTCGTCTTGCTGGCAGTCGGCCATGCCAGCCTTGTACATCTCAGCAACTTCTGCATTGGACAAATGCCGATTCAGAGCCGCTTCTTTCCGCTTGCGGAATAGCCACACATCACAGCATACTTGGGATGCGAGGTGTACAATGGACCTCGCCGTGTCAGCTGTTCGCCTCCGTCGGTTGACGGAGTGAAAATAGATGTCATCAAAGCCATCCAATTTCATGATGCGGCCTGGTCCACTCAACAACACCTTCTTCCATTGACCGAGCTCCTGCTCATCGGCTCCCTGGCCGATCCTCTCAGCGATGAACCAAACAAGTCCTTGAACGGGTTCTTCTGGGCTGACACGCTGGTACTCGCCGTTCTCTTTCACAATGAAGTCAACAGGTTCAAGCAAAGGTGTGATAGCTCCATTACCCCACTGGTTCCTGGCCGCCTGCTTCAGCGCCTCCACGTTGATCTTGACACTCGGAGTGTTGGAAGCCGTGGGGCTTCCCCACAGGCAGTTGCATCCTCCAGACAGCAGAATAGCTCCACTTTCAGCACTTGCAAGGCGCTTCTGAGCATCTTCCACATTCAAGGGGGCATTCAAAGCCCCAACTGCCAGCGGCATTGCATCTGCAATTTCAAGATCAGCACCGAAATGGCCCCGCAGGGCATCCATGGCCACCTCAAGCTCCAGGTGCCACTCAGCATTTGGATTTCGAAAGTCTGGCATATCTGGACTCGTAGCTGTGCCAGCTCGAGCTTCCTTCGACGCCGCCTTTTTCCCCATTGCAAACAAAGCTCAGATCCTTTTTGGTGCTTCTAGAACCGGAGCTTCGAATCAAACAAGAACATGGCACTTTCTCAGCACCAGCAGAATGATACTTTCTGAGTCCAACAGGATGATTTCAATGCATGAGCAATGATTGAAAAAACATACTTGTTGTCCAAGGGCACGGCTGACTGCCAAGTCATGAGTTTAGCGACAGCCTAGCACCAACATCCAGCACAACATATTGGTTTTTAAACAAATATCAATTCGTGGACTTGTATGTTGCGCCAGAAACTGAAAGTCATTCAATGTCTGCCACGTTACAGTTTTTGATCTCAAAATCAAGCCAGTAAGGGCATGTTACGCAGAAAATGAAAATCATTCAAAACGTTCCACGTTACAATTCTTGATCCGAAATCAAGCCAGTAAGGGCATGTTACGCGAGAAACTGAAAAACATTCAAAATCTTCCATGTTACAGTTGTTGCTCCCAAATCGAGCCAGCAAGGGCATGTTACGCCAGACACTGAAACAGTTCTTGATCCAAAATCAAGCCAGTAAGGGCATGTTACGCCAGAGACGGAAAATCATTCCAAATCTTCCACGTTACGGCCTTTGATCTAGAAATCACAGCAGTAAGGGCATGTTACGCCATAAACTGAACATTGTTTTTTTATTGTTACGTTTTTGCTTCAAAATCACACCAGTAAGGGCATGTTACGCCAGGAACATCCAGAACATTAAAATGATTGAAAATGTTTCATGTTATGTTTTTTGATCCAAAATCACGCCAGTAAGGGCATGTTACGCCAGAAACTGAAAAACATTCAAAATCTTCCATCTTATGTTTTTCATCCCAAAGTAAAAGCCTGTAAGGGGATGTTGGGCCAGACACTGAAAATCATTCAACATCTTCCACGTTACAGTTGCTGCTCCCAAATCGAGCCAGTAATGGCATGTTACGCGAAACATTGAAAAACATTAAAGCTGTCAGTTTTTGGTCCAAAATCAAACCAGTAGGGGCTCAGAAACATCCAGAAATATAAAATCATTAAATGTTTAACGTTACGTTTTTTGATCCCAAATCAAGCCAGTAAGGGAATGTTACGCCACAAAGTGAAAATTTTTACATTTGCGATGTTACGTTTTTTGATTCAAAATCACACCAGTAAGGGCATGTTACGCCAGAAACATCCAGAAAAAAACACCATTCTAAGTCTTCTACGTTACAGTTTTTGATCCCACAATCAAGCCTGTAAGGGCATGTTACGCCTGCTGCTGTCACTTTTAGCTTAGTGGCTAGTCTAGGTAGCTGCTTATTTAATGGTTTACCAAAGCGAGAAATCAAAATTTTTAACAGCTCACTGGGGGGGGGGGTTTCTCCCCCCCCCCCGCGGCTGGCAGCCAGCATCAACCTGGGGCGTCACTAGCCCCTCAAGAGATGTAGAGCAAACTGGTGGCAAAGCCTGATCAAGCGCTGGAACCTTAGTTTGCTCTACATCTCTTGAGGGGCTAGTGACGCGCCAGATTGATGCTGCTAGCCAGTGGCGGGGGGGGGCAGCGCCCCCCCCGGCAATGGCCTTGCTTTTGAAGACTCGGAAGGCCAGCCCCGCTCGATTAAGCATTTGCCACTTCCAGGGGGTTAGTGACGCACCTCATCGATTAGGCGCGTCACTAACCGCAAAGCCTAATCTAACGGCCCTGGGTTGCGCCGTAACATTTCTCCACATAGTGTGTTTGTAGCTACAAAACGTAACATTGGCAACATGTTACAGTTTCTGATCAAAGATCAATCCAGTAAGGGCATGTTACGCTAGAAACATCCAGAAACTCAAAGCCTTTCAAAGTCTTCTGCGTTACAGTAGTTGATCCCAAACCAAGCCAGTAAGGGCACGTTACGCCAAACGCTGAAAACCTTCCATGTTACGTGTTTTGATCCAAAATCGAACCAGCAAAGGCATGTTACGCCAGAAACCTCCGGTAAAAAAAATTATACGTCACTGCTTTTGATCCCAAAAACCAAGCCTGTAAGGGCATGTTACGCGAGAAACTGAAAAACATTCAAAATCTTCCATGTTACAGTTGTTGCTCCCAAATCGAGCCAGTAAGGGCATGTTACGCCAGACAGTGAAAACGTTCAAAAAATTTGCACGTTACAGTTCTTGATCCAAAATCAAGCCAGTAAGGGCATGTTACGCCAGAGACGGAAAATCATTCCAAATCTTCCACGTTACGGCCTTTGATCTAGAAATCACAGCAGTAAGGGCACGTTACGCCAGACACTGAAAATCATTCAAAACCTTCCATGTCATGGTTTTTGATTTACACTGAAGACAGTAAGGGCATGTTACGCCAGAGACTGGAAATCATTCAAACTCTTCTATGTTGTGGTGTTTGATTCACACTTAGGCTGTAAGGTAGTCGATTTATCATGCCTTTTATTGCATAACTTTTCTTTTAGATGCCAACATGAGCCAACAGACCCTAAAAGGCAATTTTTGGGGGTGGCCTTTTTAAGCCCTAAAAGCTTCTAAAACAAGTCAAAAAGGCCACCCCTACAAAGTGCCTCTTAGGGTTTGTTGGCCTTTCTTGGTGTATAATTTTTGCCAAGATTTGGACTCAGAAAACTGTTGCAAAGTGATTGCAATGCAAGATACTTATGCAGCAACTGCAATTTAAAAGCTCAGGGCGGCACCAGGTGTCAATGATTGATCAACCTGGTTTATCATCACGAATCTGATATGACGTACATAAATTCAAATGCAGCAAAAACAATGCCAAAGTCAAAAAATCCAGCTGGGTACTTATTCAGCACCCATTTGATTCAAAAAATCCAGCTGGGTACTTATTCAGCACCCATTTGATGGTCAAACATAAAATGCCACGTGTGGTACTTCTTCGGTGACAATCCAAATTCAGATTGCAAGCAAGCTCTTTTCACTCGCGCCCATTCATTGTCATCCCTGGCACGATGATTTCTCTGTGTCCATCGTGTAGATGAAGTCACGGAACGTCTCTGCCTCAAAGGCATGGGCGATGTCTTGGAACACCACCCTTTCGGATGCATGCACTAAAGCGATGGTGCCAGCAGGAGCTTTCCTGTCACACGCCAACTGCTTTGCCACCGCAAATTCCTCCAAGGTCTCCAGCAGCTTAAAGGTCCGGCACTGCAACCTCTGCAAAAGCTGGAATACTTCAGGGTATTCCGCTCTGAACTTTAGGGCGCAGTGAACCTTTCTGTCTGTTCTCAGACCTCGCTTGAGCTTTAGGCAAGGCCCCTTACCAGCGATCACGAAGCCAGGAGTCGTTAACCATGCCCCAGTGAGCCCCGCTGCAATAGAATGGACCAAAGGCATCTTGCTCAAATCAGAAAGCATGAACACCTGAGCAGAAGCAATGTCCATGACCGTGTCCCAATTCTTTGCATCCATTGCCCTGTCAAGCTCGCGGGTACGAAGCGCATCGTCCACAAACACTTTCAATCCTTCCAGCTCTTCAGGGCGCGGTGCTCGTTGGCAAACTCTTTGCGCCACTCGCTGCTCTGCTTTTTCCCTTTTTTCCATCAACGAGGTCTGGTTCTCAAAGAACTGAATGGCCTCTGGCGCAAGCTCAGCAGGAAGCTCATGAATCTGGATGGTGCCACTCCGAAGACACTCGAAAACCCGCTTGAGTTGCTTCTTGGCGTTGAATTGCATCTCCTTGTCATGAGCATCTGTCCAAGCATTTGATGGGCAAGCTGCAACCTTCATTGAAGCGTCAGCAGTCTCACCCTGCAGCAGTGCAGCCGACACTGCATGTCTTCTGCGTTTCTTGAATTCCGTTTCGGTGACCTTTTCAGGGGTCATGGCTCCGGCATCATCATCTCCTCCAAGCTGCCTGGCCAGCTTCTGACGTGTGACCCCCTTGTCAAATCTGGGTTTGCACCTTTTCCGGGAGTCTGCATAGAGCTCTGACCAGACGGTCCTGGAAATTGAGATGACTTCTTGGTCATGTGAAGGATCTGAAACCGCAAGCATGACAAGCTCGTTCTCCACCAGGGCTTCACATTGGAGGCGGTTCTCTCGAAGGACATCCTTCACCTTCGAAAAATTGCGTTCGATCACACTGTCAGTGGCTGAAATCGTGGCATAGTGCGCCAATGCGATTTGTAGGTGCTCGGCAGGGTGGCGCATTCTGGCCGCGGTGCTTGATGTTTTTCCCAAGGCTACTTGCCAGCATTCAAGGTTCGAGGCTGTCTTGCCACTGGCAAGCCAATGAGCATAGGCGATTTGACCCAGATCGAAATACTCATCTTTCAATTGACTCATGTCCTCCATGTCTAACAAGCTCCAAGCTAGCCTGGTCAGCTGTTCATCAAATCGCTGGCTGCAACCCTGCTTTTGGATCTCAGAAGCTGTCTGCTTGGGGAAATTTGGCATGTCGAAGATCGAAAAGCATTGGACCAACTCAAAGCTTGGGTGCTCTGCCCTGACGACTTCCTCTGCCAGATTCGCCCATGCAAGCATCCTTGACAAGCACTGGCTGCGAATCTCTTTTGACACTCCATTGGGTCCACCGATGCATCTCACCACACCGTCCACGACAAAGTGCGTCGGGGATTCCAGAAAGGACAAAGTCGCCAGCGTGTACCCTGACGTTGTCCAGATATGTTGCCTTATGGTTTGAGAAGGGTTGACCAGTAAATATGAACAAAACATTTGCCCCAGGGACCCAATGACTTCAGCTATAAAAAACATCTAGTTGTTCCAGGATACGTCCTCTCTCACAGCAAAACTTGCTGGCCCAAGTCACTCCTTGAAGAGAAATGCAAGCCGACTCAAAAAGTCAGAGATGGCAGATGCGATTTGAGCGTTGTCCACTGTGCTCTGATCGAAAAATCTGATCAAAATCAAGCACTCATCGCAGGCATCTGCAAGGAGCGCTGCCTGCAACAGCATTTCTTCGTCTAGAGTCTGCAGGAGGGAGCGGGCGAAAGCGCCAGCAGGCGTCCCTTGTCTTTCAACTTCCACCCGAAGCAAAAACGCCACCACAGCCCCCCCAGTCCAACGTCATCCGTGCTAAGGGGCTGGTGAGACTTTCGTACCGGTGTTTGGCAGCTCTCAAATGGCTAAAATTGGTGCTGACCGCTTTTGACGTGGAAGCTTTGCAGCACTGCTCGTAGATAACCCGGAGAGGATCCGAGGTCTGAATCCTTTGCGCCAGAGAGCCACTCTCGCTCACAAGCACGCCGGCGATAGTGGAGAGATAGACATCAGCAGCCCAAGGCCTTTCCAGAATCCGCCTGCTTCCGTGAGCCTTGTCTCTCACGATTGTGCGCAGGGAAGGGGCTACAGCCTCGCCAAAAATGGTAGCTGTTGATGATTTCCCTGATTGCATGTTAAACCCACTGGCCACTTCATTCTCAGCTGCATCCACAGTCAAGGAGTGGATGTGATGGCGTATGTGTTGAAGCAACTCGGAATCAAGCTCTGCAACTGAAGGGTCTGCATTTGGCGCCCCGTGGTTTTTGGTGCAAAGGTTACGAAGGAGATCGACAGTGACTTCTGTGATCCTTGTAGCAGTGCCTGGATGCACCTTTCCCTGCCCAACTACCCCAATGAACCGCTTTGCGCCCAATGTAGCACACTGGAATCGCACCAGCAGCCGTGAGTGACGCTCGTCCCTCAACAGGTTGATGGTCTCCGCTTCTGCAAGCCAGCTGCGATAAAGCCTCCTGAGGGCCTCAGCCAGGGCAAAGCACATGCGCCTTGATTTTTGAAAATGGCCGACGCCTTCCACTCCATTTCGTAAGGCGCCACCCTTCCGTATGTAGGCCAGCAGCGTTCGAAAAGCTTCTGCGTCAGGCGCGCCCTCCAACCGTAAAGGCTGTTTCTGAGAGACTTGAAGAGAACCTTCAAGCAAGCGCAGCACTGCTGCAACATGTGCTGAACTTTGAGCATGGGCCTGCATCCTGTATGGCTTAAAGCCTTCAAGCGTCTTGACTTCAAAGCGCCCCCATATGTCCAAATCACAATTGGGCAAGGCATGTGAGCAAACTGCACAGCCCACTGTGAAGACACCAACATCATCTTGCTGGGATGCTAGCCAGCTCTCTGAGCCTAAAGAATCCATATGCTTTCGCACAGCCTCGGACGAAAGCTGATTAATGACCTGCTCCGTCAAAATGGGAAATTTGGAGCGGTCTGTTCTTTGGTAGCGCTTGCAGGGACACCGCGCGCCACACGAATGCTCACCCAACGCATCCATAGTAGGGCACGGTCCAAACACAGGACGAATCAGTCAACAAGTTGTTCGTGCAGGAACCCCAACTCTTGCAAACTGTTGGGTTAGGATGGCTTAGGTGTCAACATTTGTCATGTCAACATATGTAGGTTTCTCGTCATGGCTTGGTGTCCTTGAAACGGCAGCGGTGCATTGATGGGAAAATGAGCAAAGCCATATCACGTCAGACCGCACTCTTCTGAATCACACTCGCAAGGCGACCAGCACTTTCTTCAACGAAAATGGTTCTTAGGGTGATACACAGCAGCCTTTACCTTCAAGGCTTGGAACTCAGACTGGGTGATGTACCCGGATGATAAGAGAAGGGGCGGTAACAAGTGCATCAGGATGTTCAGCGACATTGCGTTGCCAATCAACCCACCGAATTGCGCCTCACTCAAGTGCAACTCAGTCCATGGCAAGAACCCTGTCCAAAACCCTTGAAGACGGGCCATCTCATCTAGATCTAGGAAGCCGCCTTTAGTGGTGCACCAGTATCCTCCCCGCGCAGCCTCTGTTTTTGTGATGGTCATGATCATCCCCACCATCTTGTTGCACCGGCTCTTGCTTGCCCCGCTTGCAATGACCACCGGAGAAGAAAATGGATTCAAGCCACTTTCCACACAGGCCTCCAACTGCGCTGTAACATTGGCAAGCCGAGTGGTTCCGCCACGAGGTCCTAGACCTGGAAGCAATTCGAAAGCCTCACCACTCAAAGGCTCAATGAAACTGGAAAGCGTCGGCATTGGGATGGGCTCGGGAAACACAAACTCGCTCTGGGGATTGAGAATGCCAACCAAATACAGCCTGACCCTCGACTGGGGCAAGCCATAATCACAAGATCGCAGGCATTGCATGTGCAATGTGTACCCAGCCCCTTGCAATTCTGCCAAGATCAGCTGCATGAAATCCTCCGAATCCGTAATATCAGGCACCTGTTCCATGATAAGCATCTTGGGCTTGTGGCGCACAACATATGCCACAGAGTAGAGAGCCAGCTGCCCCAACTCACAATGATCTCTAGCGCGCTTGCCGCTCTTGCTGTAGGATTGGCACGGCGGACCAAAAGTATATAGATCCACCGTCTCAGCTTCAGCCAGCGAGCGAGATCTGATGTCTGTGAAGATTTTTTGGGGGGAAAGATGGGCGAGAACCTTCTGGCTGGCCGAATCAGAATCGCAAGCGAAGCGATGGGTAAACGGAATTCCCAAATAGCGCAATGCCCAAACTGCTGTGTCTAATCCAGAAAAATCTGAACCCACATGAACTTCTCGCATCGGAGCAAGATCAAAAGCTAAAGGCGTCACGGCCCGTCAGCTTGAGCGGAAAAAATCCGATGGGTATATAATTGCTATGGCTAAAACTCTAAATCCTTAATGCGACATAAGCCCCCCTCCAACAACTTGGCTCACCTGCTGCTAGGCAAGCAGGCAATATTTCAACCTGGGACGCGCAAACAGTGGCAATTGTTCTGGTACTTTTTCAGCACCAGCAGCAACTTTTGATTCAATCTTGTAAATGTTCAGAACCAAGTCAGCAAACACATAACTCCCTCAGTTCTTTTCACCAAGCCCCCCTGGTGTCACTGTGTCTGTACATGTTCTTCTGCGTCGTCGGTTTGCTACTGCCTTTCCAAAATGGCTTGCCTAGTGCCGTCAGAATCAGAAGACATCACCGAAATGTGGTCATCGAGAGATATGTCTGCACCATCGCTGTCATCATCCAAGGGCTCCTCGCTGCTGTTGCTGGGGGTATAGCGGTCGGGAAGATAAATGGCTCGGGGTTGGTTCGCCGGAATGATGAACTTCCTCAACGCCAGCCGTGGATTTGTTTTCTGCTCACGATCATGTCTGTCATCGCTGGCTGCATCACTCATTGCCAAGTCAGAATTGGAACCCCCCCCTGTCTGCAGTAGCAGTGCTGCTTTCCTCAGACTCCTCCATTGAAGCTGTTGAGTCTTCTTCGTAATCTGGATCTGCCAAATGATCCGATTTCTTGCTATCAAGGGATCCATCGTCATCATCATCGGACAAGCCCAAGTGCTGGGCAATGCGGGACCACACTTGACCTTTCGTCCCACGAACGATGAGGCCATGCCTTTTCGCCACCACCCGCAGCACGTGCACACTCAAGCTTTTGCTAATGGGAGGTAGTGCTTCTTCCGGATTTGGCTCTGATTTGACCTTGCTGCAAGCAGCAGCCTCATCATGCTCACCATTGGTGGACGAGTTCAGGTGATCAGCAATGCGGGAACAAAGCTCATCTTTAGTGCCCTGGGAGAGTAGGCCATGGTTTCTCGCCACACGTCGCAAGAGCTTCACGCCCATCCCGTGATAAATGGTTTGGGGTTCATCCGAATCTCTACCACGCTTTGCGACAGTGGCCGGCATGACTAAACTTTTCTCAACTTCCTGATTCCTGACCTGAACCAAACTGCCAAAATAAACAACATTAGCGCATTAAAGTTTGAAGCTTTCTTTGAAAAAAATACACATTATTCGACAACTGGACAACTTAGACACTATATACATTGAAAACCAATCGTCAGAGCAAGTCGGGTAAGTCAATGGACCTTGAAGGCACTTCCTCAGAACCTGTTTCAACATACATTGACTTACAGTACTAGTTCTGACGATTGATTTTCAAAGGTACTTGTTCAGCACCTTGTTCGTTTGCGGCCTGCGGGAGTCCGCCTTCCCGGGCAAAAGGCGGACTCCCGCCCGAACGCCAGGCCACAGCGCGACACGAGCGCGACATGCATGAGGACGAGGCCCCGACGGACGGTGGGGCTCCTCAGAGACCAGCGAGCCAGCGAACGCCTCAGCGAGCAGTCATTCAGTCATAATGTTATGTTCATTCAGTCAAGTGACCCCAATCAACTACATTGCGTTGTCTTTCTTCTTGTCGTTTCAACTTGAGTCCATCGAACGCTGGCTCTGAGCAAGTGCCACGCATTTCAATGGACTCAAGTTCGATTTACGTACTTCTTCCAACCCAATAATTTGAGTCCATCGAACGCTGGCTCTGAGCAAGTGCCACGTATTTCAATGGACTCAAATACATTGTCTTTTCAAAACACATTACTCTACAATGTTGTTTGTGTGCGCTCGCTTCAAATGATCGGAAAGTCGATCGCAAGACCAGGGGCTCAAATTTAGAACGAACGCAAAGAAGAACTCAAGAAAGCATGCAAAAGCACTCAACATGTCAAGCAAGAGAAAGAAAGAAAAAGACTGCCATAGCGCCCAGACACACTCAGATCAGATCAGACACACTCACTCAGACCACATAGCATGCAGACAGACACACTCAGACCATGCAGCCCCTGGCCCCCTGCCAGACAGAGACTCGGACTCATTCACTACGAACAAGAATGTTCCCAGCAGTCCAAATCGTCAACTTCACTCCAAGATGTTTCACATCATCATCATCATCAACAACATCATCACCACAATCACCATCATCATCAGCACCAACATCATAATCACCAACATCATCACCACAATCACCATCATCATCAGCACCAACATCATAATCACCAACATCATCACCACAATCACCAACATCATCACCACAATCACCATCATCATCTCATCAGCACCATCCATCACCATCATAATCACCATGACCATCACCATCATCATCACCATCATAACTATAAAAAACCACATCCTGACAGTTGCCTGCCGACGCGCGCGCCGCCCTCATGCATGGCGTCGATGCTTGAATCGAAGCCCAAAGCCTCTGGCCTTCATCCACCAAAAGCTCGGCCCCTACAGCCAGATCCAGCAAAAGCTCGGCCCCTACAGCCAGCAGCAGCAGCACAGCCAGATCCACCAAAAGCTCGGCCCCTACAGCCAGCAGTGCCAGGACCTCGACCTCCGGTCGCTCCTTTCCCTCCCGACCCACCAAAAGCTCGGCCCCTACAGCCAGCAGCAGTGCCAGGACCTCCGGTCACTCCTTTCCCTCCCGACCAACCACAGCCGCCGCCGCCGCCTGATGATACACCACAGCCACGTGGAACCGTCGCGCGGGCATTCCAGAACGCATCGGCAAACACATCGGCAGCGCGGCAGCCCCCAATGACGACAGCATCGCGGCAGCCCCCAATGACGACAACATCCCGATCCAGCCCAGCCTCAGGATCAGTGGCGGCAGCGTCGCCGTTGGCTCCAGGAAGAGTGCCTCCTGGTGCAACAGGTCAAGAAGAAGGCGGCGACACGGCAAAGGCAAAGCGCGGTCGCCACGCCACGCCAGCTCAGGAAAGGAGAGAAGAGATGCACTGGCTGAAGAAGACGTGTGAGGAGCAGATGAAGGAGATCCGAACTCTTCGAGAGGAGATCGGCAAGAAGAACGGCCAGATGACCGAGCTGCAGGCGGCGCTGCCGGAACTCCATGCTCTTCGAGAACAGGTGGTTTTGCTCAAGAAGGCGTGACTTGTTTCGTGCATGACAGTGACAGTTCAACCTTACTAGAAACAAGTTGCGAAGCGCTTGAACTTGAACAGCGTCATTGTCAGGGAGTCCACCAGCTGTCAGAGGCTTTCCAGCTGCAAGCGGAGGCCAGATCTTCACCGTTTGTTTCACAAAATGGCGAGGCCGTTTGTTGCAGATTGTTCAGAACCATCTCACTCTAATTCTTCAATTTGTTTGTTTGACAAGATTGCTGAAGCTTCACTGACATTCTCGTTGTCCTGGCAGGGCTTCCTCGAGCTGAGAGATTTGTTCAAGGCTGTGTTCAGTGTATTTTCTGTTTTGCTTGCCTGTTTTATGTTCTTTCTGGTGCTGAACAAGTACCATAAAGAACATAGAAATGCTTTGTTTTGCTTGCGTGTTCTATTTTCTTTCTGGTGCTGAACAAGTACCATAAAGAACATAGAAATGTCATGTTTTGTTTGCATGTGTCTACTTTCTTTCTGGTGCTGAACAAGTACCATAAAGAACATAGAAATGTACTGTTTTGCTTGCGTGTTATATTTTCTTTTTGGTGCTGAACAAGTACCATAAAGAACATAGAACATACAAGCAAAACAGGACAAGTACCAGTAAAGAAGTGAAAGAACGCATGTCCTGTGAGGCAAAGGAAGCCGCAAAGCAACAGCGCATGGAAGAAGTGAAGGCTGCGAAGGAGGCCCATGAATTTCTTTAACTTTCAACTTATGGCAGTGCTTGTAGAGATACTATCAACTATGCATCCTTGCAATCATTTGGGTGTGAAAGAACCACTGTCCTGTGAGGCCAAGCAAGCCGCCAAGCAACAGCGCATGGAAGAAGTGAAGGCTGCGAAGGAGGCCCATGAATTTCTTTAACTTTCAACTTATGTCAGTTTTTGTAGAGATACTATCAACTATGCATCCTTGCAATCATTTTGGTGTGTTTATTGTTTGCCTTGCCGTCTCGTGTCTTGAGGCCCGAAAAGCCAAAGCGGAGGAGGCGAAGCAGGCCAAGGAGTCACCTCCGGAGTCATCGAAGAAGAGAAAGGCCGACGCCGTGGAGAAGGAATCGGAAGCGGCAGCATTGGCCAAGAAGAAGGGAGCGGCAGCCAAGGCAAGACGTTCAAAGGCGCAGAAATCCTCATCATCAAGTTCCTCCCGCACATCGCCGGCTGACGTTGCGAGGGCCGACGACGAGTGATCGAAAAATAGGGGCGTGTGCCCGAATGCATGCATCAACATCCCACTGTGTGCACTGTGTAAATTCAGCAACTGCATCATGCCACGTTGACGCTGTGGCTCTCTAAGGTTCCAACCTCTTTGACAACCAGATGTTCGCCATGGCCTCAACATTGCAAGGTGCTGAACAAGTACCTTTTGCATCGCAGGATCAACGTGGTGAATTTGTTCAATTCGAAGTGACTAACATGGGTGCTCTGTGCAGCGCTGCGACATGTTGATCACTTAGAAATGAACGACTTTGATTTTTCCTCAAACGTCATCCAAAGTGTGGTTCCTGACATTTTCATTGTCCTGGCAGGGCTTGCTCGAGCTGAGAGATCTGTTCAAGGCTGTGCTCAGTGTATTTTCTGTTTTGCTTGCCTGTTTTATGTTCTTTCTGGTGCTGAACAAGTACCATAAAGAACATAGAAATGTCCTGTTTTGCTTGCGTGTTCTATGTTCTTTCTGGCGCTGAACAAGTACATAGTGTCCTGCTTGCGTTTCGATTCGCCCTTACCCTCGATTTTTGCCAAGGAGCCTCAGACGTTGCTGATTCGAAGTGATGAGCCATGTCCTCAATCAGATTTCAGTGTCAACATCTCAATATAACAAAGGAAGTTTCGA